TGGATCTAACTAATGCTTTTATCCACTGGATAAAGGCGTTAGTAATTTGTTTTAGTTTTCTCAGAAGTAAATTCCATCATTCTTATTGCGTCCCTTCAGGATGTAGGCGATCATGGCTCTCCACAGATTCATAACCACCTTACCAACCCTGTTCTGTTATCTGTGTACACCAGCTAGTTACTCATGTTACGTGCTCATTCCTCTATCCGATATATATATATATATCAGTCAGTTATGTGCCATGCAGGTTGCCATTTCTGACACATGGCACAGTGGATAAAGGCGTTAGTTAGATCCAGTGACAAGACCCAAAGCGTGTGAGTTCAATACCCGATTAAGGCAGTGGAAAACTTGGAGAGAGGAATTAACAGGAGATAATTGATAACTGACATCCATTAAACATGGCACGTGAAACTAGAACAGTCTACTCCAGAGAGCGAAATAAAGGGTTCAGTTCAACATTCCAACCACCTGAAGAAGGCCGGAGTGTACAAGGTCCGAAACGTTGTAATAAATATGGCGACAAAGATTAGGACAATAGTACGAATAATGTAAATAATGTATATATATATATATGTGTGTGTGTGTACACACACATATATATATATACTACATCTACTGGTCTGTATGTTTGAGCCTGAACATTCGGGCCAATAATTAATTTAATACTATTTAATTAAAAAAAAGCATTTGCTTAAATAAATTGTATTTATAAAAATAACATATAAACAGAAAATATATTAAATAATTGTCAGGCGTAAGCCATTTCATAGTATGTGCGTGTGTGATAAGTTTAGTTTTAAGGGATGCTATATTTATGCCTTAAAGTGCTCAATATCAGAGATAGAGCATATGTAAATATAAATGTGTGCATCGACATCAACACATATGTCCACTTTATATATATATATATATATATATATATATATATATATATATATACCCTTGTGCAAATTAATTGAAGCAACCACTTTAGTTTCCTTTCTTTCTCTATACGGTGAATTTAAGACCCACTGGAGTGACAGGGTGTAATCGTTTTCTAATTTTTCCTCAGATTGGGTCATATGCTGTGGTGTGCAGTAATATGAATCTATTTTCAACGTTTATGATGAAAATTGTTTGGCCTTGAAAATTATTGCGCTATCCATGATTGCATCAGATTTTTATCATGCCCAGACACTATTGTCTCAACTGTCAATTATTTGCCCTATAACCATTGTCTGCGATGGACGTTACTCCAAGGAAGTGTGCGAAAATTGTAACGCTGCACAAACACAAATGAAAAGCCTTGCTAGTGAGCAAATCAAAGTACTATCGACTAGCTCGAAAACTTTCCTGATTTAAATCCAATCGAGAATCTGTGGTTAATCTGTAAGGAACGACGTCGTGGAATGAACATACGAAGTACTAACTTGTGCACTGGGTCATGTTCCATTGGAAAAACATGAATAGAAAGTAAATAATAATCGAATTATTCGTTTTGTTTCAATTAGTTTGCACTAGGGTGTATATTGTACCTTGAGTAACTATTCTGTGGAGGTATATATATATATATATATATATATATATATATATATATATATATATATATACTTCCACAGAAACACTATACTTAAGGTTTAAAATTAATTTAAAAAAAATGAAAAATCTTTGTTGGAGCTTTCATTAATAGATTAAATTTAATATTTTCAATAAGCAAAATACTTTTTCTGCATTTCAAAACTAGTTTAAATTGGCTGGAAGGAGTTTTTGTTTTGAAATTGCTTAAATAGCTGATTTTATTGCCATCTTTAACCATCTGTTATCACAATGTAACTATGTGTATTAAAAAATTTAAAAAAAAAAATAAAATATAGTTTTCTGAAACTTTATTTGAGGAATATTAGCTGATTTAAGTGAGAGTCACTTTGCAGTATGTTGTATTTTATTTATTTATTTATTTATTTTGTGATTGACGTAAAACCTTAAGTGCTACCCCGGGCGGCTCACACTCTAACTACGTCTCTGTCAACAATCCTCTACCTTGAGTGGCTCTGGAGCCTTGTATTAGGTGAACAATACATACGTGACGATAGGAAACAGATGGTAAATTTTAAATGATCCAACATGAATTCTGTCTAATCTTATCTGTATTTCTCTCTCTGTTTATTTATTTTTTTTAATTTTTATTTATTTTATTTTACTTTTATTTTTTTTTTTTCTGGGCAAAAACTGTAAAGAGATACAGATAAAGTGTGTCAAAAATGAAATTTGAGAAGTGGCGCATTCCTTGCACCTTACCAGCTCAAGAGATAATTCATCCGATAATAAGCCGGATAGTGGGTGGGTGGGTGTCTGGCAGGCTGGATGGATGATTTAAATTTCATTTTATGACCCACGAGTATAAATATTACTGAGAGAGTCTGCTTCGGCCATATCTGAAACTGTTTCAATGTCTTCAGCAGCAAGTCTTTTTATTGATTACTTCCTCGTTTGCACACGTGCAGTTTGAAAACAAAACCAAACACTACGATTTCAGACTTTTAGAACGGCGAATCGGATTGGCTAGAGACAAAACCTGCCTGTCGCCTCCATTTTCCTTCCTTATTGTCTTTTCGTTTATTTATTTATTTTTTATTTTTTTATCTTTTTTTTTTTTTTTGAGAGAGAGAGAGAGAGAGGGAGAGAGATGAGGTTCCTTGCGCGATGAACTCAATTTTGATCTGCGTTTATCATCATTTTCTCTGTCTGTCTCACTGTCTCTCTCATTTTCCTGCATCCAGTGTTTCTCAACCTTTTTAAGCAACGGCACACTTTGGAGCTAATGAAAATATCACAGCAAACTTAACAAATTTTTTAAAGGGAATACATTCAAATGATATGAAATAAAACCATAGTTTTTTTGTTTTGTTTTTTTTTTAAATTACACTCAAATATGAACTTACTTCAATTCAATGTTTCTATTCAACTATTTGTACAGCTTACGTAGTCTGAAACCTGTGCCTGTTTTATTTTGTGTGATTTCTTCAATGTTTGGTTGAATGTGCAATAAGCAGACCCTCATTTCTTCTTAAACTGAGCGCAGTCTTTCTCGTTTCTTATTTTTCATGTTATTTAGGGTTGAGAAGCTTAATTCACATAGATAAGAAGTAGAAAGTTGCAATAAAACTGATAAAAACTTTTTACATAATATTCCTTTTGTATTAAATCCAAAATGTATCAATGGGTACCGTCGATGATTTTATTTCGAGCGATTAAAAGATGAAAAAATACTTTTTAAAAAATGAATATTAAAACAAAGTATTTAAAATAACATAATCGAAGAATAGCGAAAAGAATTATTTGAAATAAAAGTTTAATACTTATTCATTTATTCAAATACTAATGTTGTACCATTACTACTACTTTCACGAATACATATATATATATATATATATATATATATATATATATATATATATATATATATATATGATATATATTTTGTATATATATTCGGTTGAGAAGGATTGTTTTGGACAAATGGAAGCTCTGATACAAGAGCTGTTT